ATTTTTTTTTTTTTTTTTTTTTTTTTTACTGAAAGCATTTCTTTCCTCTGGGTTGTTAATTTTGTTTTTATGTTGATAATAAAGGCATTTTTCAGATGTCTGGTTAGCACTGGTTATCTGCTCATGTTTGACATGGGAGATTGAAAGAGTGATTGGGGACCACCCTAAGAGGAAGGGTTGGGCTTCTCAGCTGGGGCTCACTGTAGGGTGCTGTGACTGGGCAGATAGCTGAGAAATCTCTGTGCAGTAACTTTATATACCTTTTTTCTTAGATTAGGCAGTTTTTCCAGAAATGTTTCTTTTAGTTACTTGCCTGAAGTGTGGAGGCCTGGCTGCCAGGGCTTTGGAGCCAAACGCGGGGAGACTGCTGAGGGCCTTTACATGTAGTATCAGGCATTCACTTGGCACCCTCCCATCAGCTGTTGTGTGTCTGCTAGGATCTAGGCACCCTCTTTTTCCCAGAGGAAACTTCCATTCTTTAGTTGAAGTAGGGAAGAGGCAATTGCCTGGTTGTATGGAGCAGAGAGGGATTGCTTCCATATTTTCTCTCGCTTCCAGAATTTTGATACTGTTATCTCTTCTCCTATTCTACTTGTCGATTTGTGCCCTTAAACAGAAAACCTTCATGTCTTCTTTGTGGAGGTGTGGGGGGAGTGCAAGTGGATGAGTATTTTCCCATCTGCTTTGTTTATCCCGAAATTGGGATTTTTTAATCACTTAGCTCCATCTTAAAAATATAGCATGCAGACAAGTAGAAATATTTTGTTTATAGTTTTAATTTACAGAATTGCCTTATTATAGTGACCTCTTGCTCTTCTGCTTTTGATGGTGATGCATTGCCTAAAACTAATTATAGAAAATTATACTAAAACACATATCTATATTTCTTCAAAACAGACTTTCCCAACAGTACAAAATTGGATATCATATTTACCTGTAGGATTAATATATTACCCCATGGGATAATTTTTCCTTACCTTCTAGCCTCAGAGTTAAAGATTATTTTCATAGTACTCTTAATTTTATGCTTTAACTCCTTGGTTCCTGTTCACCTGTCGGTCCTTATTCTTGGAAAGGAGCTCTCGGTCCTTCACATCTTCATTTGCGATTGTCTCTCTCTTTTCTACTTGACGGTCAGAATGTTAGCGAAGTGTCAGTGGGAGAATAAAACACTAGTAAATGCAGTAACATGGAAGCCAGTTAGAGTCCCTGCACTGCTGTTTCATTTACTTACGAGATGTAGCAGAAGATCTGAGTGTCTCACACATGGACGGGTCGTTGCAGGTTATTGACCCGGTGGCGCCACGATACATCGCACTGCTGAAGGAGGAGGTGATCCCGGTGCACATCCCTGAAGCTCAGGAGGAGATGAAAGAAGTGGCCAAGCACCCAAAGGTCAGCCTGCAGACTCTCAGCATTGCTCTGTCTGTAGAGGGGCAGGATCATAAATACAAGGGAGAATGTGCTTTGGTGTCCATAGCATGGTTTCGGGATAATTTCTATCCAACATTATTTGTCAGGAGTTGATACTAATTGGAAAAAACATTTTTGTAAATTTCTTGCTGGAGAAATTTATCTTGATAAAATCTACAGCACATCACACAGAACTGTTACACCCAAATGGCACCTTTTTTAAAAATTCTGGAGAGATAGTATATCTGTGTGTAATTAGAATGCATCTCTTCCTGGAGTCCTTTTGAAAGATGAGGTATGACAGTTCACACTGGTATTTTTATATGGAAGCCGAGGTGCCTTCTCTATTAACTAGGTTATTCGCTAACTCTTACCTTTGTCTTTAAGCCAGAACACTGGCCCTAGTAATATTAAGTCACAGCTTGTATCCGAGTGTATCACACTGCTCTTTGCTCTGCTTTACAAAATATCAGTGACGTGAAATTCTGTCTGTCTAAATTCAGAATGTAAATCTTAAATATGGGTAGCAAGAAGCTCCTCTTAGTCAAGCCACAGTTGTCATCTTCGGTGGTCATAACTTCCTTGGTTGTCTTGAAGCAAAGGTAGATCTTTTTATTCCAGCTTTGTGAGTAGTCTGTGAATACCCTCATTGTGTAATGAAGGGTATGTTCATAGACTCGGTCATACACTGGCAGACTGATGGACTCACAACCTTACTCATCACTGTGTGATGGCCCTGGACTCACTCATGCATAAGGTGGTGTGCGTCAGGCAGAGCTATAAATATTCTAGGCTGTAGCCTTATGTGATTGCCTTTCTATGATGACATTAGCTATATTTTAATTTTAAAGACTTGGGTTACTTTAAGGGGAACCCTAATAAGAGTTGTGAGAGAGAGAGAAATGGATTGATTGATCGATTTAGCTTTGCCTTTATCTTGCATCTGATTGTTCAGCTAGGATAGCAAAGTATATTCTGGTAGGGGGACACCGAGTGACAGATAATACTGTCCTAGCTCTGAAAACAGAATGGTTTAGGTTGGACATAATCTCGGCCTGGCCCCCTTATTTCCTCCATTCAAATTATCGGTCAGTTGACTGACCCAGTGTCACAGGACTGGGATTCCAACTAACACAGATAACTTTTGTTTGTGAAAGAATAAAATGGAAGAAAATGTAAATTTCCACACTGGGTTCATTAAGTTGTTGTTTTAACCAACACTCTCCTATTTTACCCATCAGAATCCTGACGTGGGCCTGAAGCCTGTGTGGTACAGTCCCAGAGTGCTCATTGAAGGTGCAGATGCAGAGACGCTGTCAGAGGGGGAGATGGTGACCTTTATAAACTGGGGCAACATCAACATTACTAAAATACACAAGTAAGAACTTTCTGTTTGTTTTCAAGGAAATACGGAATAGAAGTATTTTGTGTTTATTTATTGTTAAAAATGACCTGGTTCAGATGCGTTCATGTGGCCGATTAGTAAGTCTGCCCGGGCACGAATACTGCACATTCTGGATGGTAATGTTTTTTCCGCACATGCTCCAGTTTTACTAATAGGGTCTCCGGATAGCTTTTGCTCGTGATGCTGAAGTTTACTTCATCTGGATATAAAAATACTTCTAATGCTTTAGGGTCCCTTTTGATATTTAATTCTCATTTTACAGTTGCTTGGTGGAGGGATTCTTTGGCCAGAGTTTATATGTATAACATATTCTTTATCCTAAAATCTGCTTTGAAATTGATTGTTTAATGATGAATATGTAGTACTTCCCAGTGATTATAGTTATATTTTAAGATTACATAAATGGAACATAGGATGCCAGGATTAATTTATGTAAACTCTGACATCTTAATTGTCCAGTCATTGCATGTGATTTTAAACAATTGCTAAATGTTTTAAAATATATTTTAGATTTTTGTAATGCTCAGTGCAGCTGACTTTTAAGTTTGTAAATATGTTTATGCTCTTCATCAGATGTATGTTGGTCTGTTGTCCAGTGGATTATTGGTATCTTGATAGTAAGGGTGATATTTTATTCATTTCTTAACCAATATATGCCTGACATACATTAAAAATTCAAGTAAGTGTGTGGTTTGAAATTTTTGCAAAGAAAATTCCTACTCCATTTTGTTACAGAAAATTCCTCATCTGTTTGTTACAGATACTGTTATGGCAGTTAGGGTTTACTTTTTTAAAACACTTTTCAATCTTACACCTAGAAATGCAAATGGAAAAATTGTATCTCTTGATGCAAAATTGAATTTGGAGAACAAAGACTTCAAGAAAACCACTAAAATCACTTGGCTTGCAGAGACGGCCCGTGCCCTTCCCGTCCCAGCCATCTGTGTCACCTACGAGCACTTGATCACAAAGCCAGTGCTAGGAAAAGAGGAGGACTTTAAGCAGTATGTCAACAGGAACAGTAAGGTAACCTAAAGGAAGCCGTGCTTCATCTTTCCCTGTCATGCAAATTCTCTTTAGAATTTTTAAAATTAATTTTAATTATTTGGTTGCTCAAATAAAATGGAAAAGGTTTGTAGAATTTTATTAAAACAAAAAGATGTAAAAGTGTTATGTTCCCATTTTACAGATGATAGAAAGTGAGGCACAGTGAAGTTAATAAGTAACTTGTCTGAGGACATACAGTAAGTGGTAGAGCTGGGATTCAAGCCTAGGCATCCTGGCTCACAGCCCTTATTCTTAAGTGCTTTGTCTTTTCAGTCTGCTATGCTTCGTGCATTGTGGCTGGTTCATATTTATTGTGGGAAACTTCATTTATATATGGAGGGACACCAAACAAGTTAGTTTAAAGGTTTACTGAAGCCAGTCAGCTTATAAATGTTAACTTTAAAAATGACAATAAATGTAATTGTTACTTTAATACTTCTCTGTTTTGTGGTATGTGCTTAAGCAGTAACGTTTTTAATATGTCTGTTTAAAGTAGGAATGTTCTAGCCACTGGAAAAACTGTTGCATTTTAGTGTTGCTTTTAGTGCTCTGATTTTGAGAAAGTGTCTTTGTCTTATATCACCTTTATAGCATGAAGAATTCATGCTAGGGGACCCTTGCCTTAAGGATTTGAAGAAAGGAGACATTATACAGCTCCAGAGAAGAGGATTCTTCATATGTGATCAACCTTATGAACCTGTTAGGTAAGAAAACGGAGCTGAACAACTAAATGAAAATGCTTCGAGTTCTCATAGTAAATTGTATTTTAAAAATTGAACATCACTAAAATACTGTCCCTGACAATTCTCTTTTCAGTTGGATTTCTTCTATATTTAATATTTTAGACTTTAATTAGTGATATCTTTGAAACAGCATAATATTAAGAAATTCAATTCTAAAACTAAACTTTCCTGGCTCTTCCTGTGTTTTTCAGCCCACATAGCTGCAGAGAAGCACCGTGTGTCCTAATATACATTCCTGACGGGCACACAAAGGAGATGCCGACGTCTGGGTCCAAGGAAAAGACCAAAGTGGAAACAGTAAAAAATGAGGTCACTATTGACTCACTAACACGTCTCTAATCATTGATCTTTTTTTAGGAGGATTTAGAATCTGTTTTACAAGTGATTGTCTTCCTATGGAGACTGAAGACCACAGCTCTTATTTGGGGGTTTGTTGTCCTTTCGTGTAAGAGTTTAAAGCACCTTGCAAAAGGTTTTTAAACCTTAACTTTATTATGTGAAAAAGTCAGAGACTAGATTACAAGGATATTTTTAGTCAAGGTGGTTTCTCCCCCCATTATGGCAGTAGTAAATCTTTTCTTTTTTAACAGCCAGTCTGCTTTAGTTTGTAGGGGCTGAGGAGTTTGTCGAGGGCCACCTACTCTTAGCTCCTCATCTCATACAGAAAAGGGAAAGAAAAGCCTTGCCCAAGATGACAGCATTTGTTATTGACAGTACAGTGGCCTGGTTTTCTGATTTTCTGTCTGAACTTTTCTATCAAACTCCAGTACCTCTTGGAGGAGAGTTCCCGATGGTCTGAGGTTTGAGAAGGAGAAACAGGGCAGGAGTGCTGGGTTGTAGTTGCTGAGACACTTACCTGCTTTTTCTGTTCCCTTTTCATCTTGGAGGTGATGCTTCATCTGTGTCTTCAAGAATGTGTTAGGGATGTGCCCCAGCCAGGGTCTGGAGGGTGTTCCAGGTGCACACACAGCTTCTGTCCTCATCGTGCTGGTGTGGGTTGGAGAGGTGGCAGGCAGCCTGTGTAGAGATTCGGAGTTCACTGTGTCGGCCAGATGTCCTTCCGCTCCTTCAGCTCACAGCACTCTTAGTTCCTCAGTCAGTTGTCATGGCACCTCTAGGCCAAGTGACATTTCTAACAGTTCTTTTTATTAAGTAGTCAAGTCCAAACAAGTAGATGCATATTATATCCCAATAACATAGTAGCCATTTGAAAAAATAATACGTGCGAGTTGAAAGAAAATATTTTGTATGTTAAATATTTTTATTTCACTTTTAAAATGATACACAAATTGAAAGAAAAATAATTTCATTCCTTCCTTCAACCTTGGACACTACCATTTTCTGTTCCACAGTGATTTTCTGTGGTATTTGATATTTAACACAGCAGCTCTGAAAAGATAGGACATCATTGAAAGGAAGGTAGCACACTCTCACGTTAGCTAGTACACACAGATGGTGGGCACATTGCTCTTCTTGTCTCGGATAGTTATACTATCCCCTGGCACCTTGTGAATCTCCTGTGGCACCTGGAGCACCTCATACATAGTTGAGATCCATTGATGAGGGCAGTTGGGTGGTCACTGAAGATTTGGCATCATTGAAGAAGGCAGTTTGGAGGGTGGGTTGGATATAGGATTAGGTGTTACAAGTGGTCAGAGGCTGAGAGCATGGAGGGTACAGAGTAGGACCTGAGTCCAGGGTGTAGAATTAGTAAGATGGTAGCTTCCCGTTTTGTTTTGGTTGACTAGGTAAGTAAATGGTAAGTACCCTGAGCTAGGAACGGCAGAAGCATGAAAGTTTATTAGGAGATAGGAGTTTGAAACTTTATAGTGGGAATGTCACTACTTGAGCTTTTAATTTACATAGATTAAAAACCGTGGCCTCTGATTTTAAAATTTTGTTTTAACTTGAAACATTATAAAGCAGTCCGTTTGATTTCATTTCGTGGGAAGACATTTAACATGAGTTAATTATTTTACTTTCGGTTTCCTGCCTCCGTAGACAACTACTCCTATGAAGGACCGGCCAGCGCCACCTTTGACTAATGCTTGTGCTGCCTCTGAGGATCCCTTGGTCCTTTACGGTAGAGTGGCTGCTCAAGGGGATGTGGTTCGTGAATTAAAAGCCAAAAAAGCAGCAAAGGAAGATGTCGATGCCGCTGTTAAACAGCTTTTGGCTTTGAAGGCTGCATATAAGGAGAAAACGGGCCAGGAGTATAAGCCTGGAAGTCCTCCCACTCTGGTGGGACAGACTGCTGCTTCTAAATCCTCAGCAGGTGCCGGGGAAAGCAAGTCCCTGTATGATGAAGTTGCCGCACAGGGGGAGCTGGTTCGCAAACTGAAAGCTGAAAAAGCCCCTAAGGTGAGTGTGCTGGGAGGAGCCAAGACAACATTGTAAGGGAGCCTGTGAATTCCAGCTGCTAGCGTAGACTCATCTAGGACATGTTTGTAGACTGCCTTGCTTGAACTTTTCTACATAACGGTCAGCATTTACTGATACCTGCCCCTGCCATCGTCTGTATTAACAAGGAGCAGCTCGCCATCTAGTGGCTGGGGGAGGGATCTGGGGAAGAAACAGGCCTGTGGACATAATCCTGTGCCATGTGACCGATTGTGTGAATTGCTCTGAGAAATGTTTGTGGCCTTAAGTGGCAGGGAAGGAGGAACCAGTTCACGAAGTCAAGCCCAGGGTCTGCCATGCCTCCCTGTGTGCAGAACATACTCTCATTTTAGAATTTCATTCTTTTTCACTGTGTTTTTAGAATGTCTCATTCAGTAATGAAGTGCTTTGCCCATCTTAATTTTCTCCTTTATAATATTTCAAGTTGTAACCTTGCCAAAGAAAGGTGTTTTTCTGTTTACTTTTTCCTGTGTGAAGTGTGTGCCATCTGACCTAAACTTGAGTGAGTACTTACAGTGTAAACTTTTCCCCCATTTCCCTTTTAACTGATGGAAGTTTCTGGTTTTCTTGATTTTTGTATGTCTGATTAACTATGTTCTTTTTCTTAGGATCAGGTAGATTTTACTATGAAAATGCTCTTAATTCTAAGGACATTGTAAACAAGAGACAACAGGTCAGGAATATAAATCAGATAACCTACCTTCTTCCCTGTGTGTGATTTCTCCTCTTACCTGTGCCCGCTTAGGGTGATGCCTGCTGTGACAGATTCTAAGTCTGTAGGCAGAACACGGTCTCATAAAGTAGCTGTACAAGGAAAGGTGATTGCTGTCCTGTAGATGCCAATTCTGTTAGTTTCCTGGCTTCTGATGGTAGCCCTTAGCTCCCTGGAGCACTGTTATAACATGGCAGTAAGACTTGGATAGGGTGATTTGCAGACACTTTCTCTGTTTTATTGGTGCTGTGGCTTCCCAGTGGTACATTGGTTTGTAGTTAGATAGTACTACCATTCAGGCAAGGCAACTGGCTTGAGTCCTTTGCCTGCGTGGCTGGTCTTCTCTGCTAGAGTCACGGGTGTCTCAGTTGGGCTGTTTCATTCGTTTTCACTGTGATTATGTTGAAGTGTCAGAGGACAGTATATGTAGGTGAGTGTCCAAAACCTCAACATTCCTTCTCATTTCATTTTTTAAACGAGTGATTATTCTTTAGTTGGGCCCAGACTCTGTTTTGTTTAGTGTTGTATTTACCATCTATTTTTAAATTAAGAAAATAGGTTTGTATTGGCAAAGCCATTGAGATGATCTGTGCTCCAATTTTATAAATTCTGACTCCTCTGCTTACAGACCCAGAGCTTGGATGCTAGCAGTTTGCTTGGATATTCTATTGTTTGTTTGTTTACATATGTAAGATGCAAAGTTATAGTATTAAATGTGTTTCTTTTGTTTATTTTGATAACTTATGTATAGGATTATAGTATGATTTATGTTTTTAACTTTCCTTTAGCTTGGATCTGTTGTTTTAGGGTTTCTCCATGATGGCTATTTATAGGAATACTTTGGTGGCAATGAATAGTTTTAAATAATCATTGATATTTTCAGAAAGTATTAAATATTTGTCTTTTTTTCCTCTTTTAACACAGGCTAAAGTAAATGAAGCTGTAGAGTGCTTGCTTTCTCTGAAAGCTCAGTATAAAGAAAAAACTGGGAAGGAATATGTTCCTGGTCAGCCCCCGTTATCTCAAAGTTCAGATTCAAGCCCAGCCAGAATCTCTGAGCCTTGTGGTCCAGAAACACCAGAAGCCAAAGCACTTTTTGACAAAGTAGCTTCTCAAGGAGAAGTCGTTCGAAAACTTAAAGCTGAAAAAGCCTCTAAGGTTAGTGTGGTATTTTGTATTTTTGTTTTTCACATTACCTGCTATTTTCTTTGCCTGGAACACTTTCTGCCCCATGAAATCTGGCTGACATCTACTCATACATTTCAGCATTCAGCTCTTTTAAGTCACCTTCTAGAGGAGCCTTTATTGATCCTTTCTCCCTCAACTAGATTAGACTGGATGTTCTCATACGACACTGCCCTTCTCTGACATAACACTTAACTACACTGATTTAATTGTTTGTGAAATTGTCTGTTTCTCTCTGGTGTGTAAGATGCTTGAGCATAGGGACCCAGGCCCCAGCAGTGCCTGGCTCTTAAAGGCCCTGATACAGTGCGTGCTCTTTCTGTGACTCGTTTTCCTGATGCTCTTCAGTCGGAAGCAGCCGGTTTTATTTTGAGCCATGTGTGCTTTGTATGAATTGTATTATCTTTACACGAGTAGAACTTTTTGGTACAGATTCATTTCATTGGAAAACAATAAATGGTTACAGGTGTTGAAATGCGACCAGTAATATAGAACCCTGACTACTGTCATCTTGGTAATTGTGAAATGCTCCACCTGTGTAACTTCATGGCTCTCACTTCACTTGTGGTGGAATACGTTCCATACTAGCGTTTTCTCGTAGACGTGTCAGTGACAGTTCTGTCCAGTGCAGTCACAGGGGGCTTCTAAGTTACATTTACGTTAATTTAAATGTAAATGACCTCATGGGGCTGTGACTTCTTTTTGGACAGTGCAGGGTGGTGCTCTTTCTTCGTCACCCTTTTGCACAGTCCTGTCCCTGTTTATCGTACTCTTATTTATAGACGTTAGTATAGGAAATGTTCCCCACCCCTCCGCACACCCCTCTGCCTTTAGTCGTGTTTTCAGACCTGCTCCTAACGTGTTGGGCACTGGCGCTCAGGCGGGCATTGAATTAAATGTGGCCTTGTTCTCTTGCTGACCTGAAGGACCAAGTGGACGCCGCTGTGCAGGAGCTCCTTCAGCGGAAAGCGCAGTACCGGTCGCTGACCGGCGTCGAGTATCAGCCCGTCGCTGCTGCCGGAGCCGAGGACAAAGACAAGAAGAAGAAAGAGAAAGAAAACAAGTCTGAGAAACAGAACAAGCCTCAGAAACAGGACGACGGCTCCAAGAAGGAGCCCTCCAAAGGCCAGGGCGGCGGGTTGCCGCCCAGTGGGGCCGGGGAGGGGCAGGGGCCGCGGAAGCAGACCAGGTAATGGAGCGACACGTACACACAGAGCCATTGTCTTTATTACTTTTTACATGTTATTTTCAGCCAGATGCTGATCTAACTATAATTTGTCCTGGATTCCAGTTGGCAAAAGAGTCTTCTTAGTTAGTAGGAGAATGCTGTGTGAATAGCACTGTACAAATGCCTGACCTGATAAAGACGGCAGCAGACACGTCTGCATTAAGATCACAGCTCTTACTAGGCTTGGCTTTCTTAGAGTTTTGTGGACAGTATTCCACCACCTTCTAAGAGATAACTGAACTGTTTTCTAGGTTTAAAACATGACCTTGGGAATGAATGTAGGAGAGATTTAAATATAGGAATAACTCATACTAAAGGAAAATGGATCTATTTTGAACTTTAGAGGTTTATTTCCGTTCAACTTAGAAGCAAATTCAGAATGAAGGAATTTATATTTTACTTCTCATATCTGCAGGTTGGGTCTTGAGGCAAAAAAAGAAGAAAATCTTGCAGATTGGTATTCTCAGGTGAGTATGCATTCGGTTGACTTCTGTGTGTTAAATTTCTCAAAGGTGACTTTATATTTTCAGTTCTGAAGCCAGACACAAGGTAATGATGTGTGATGCCTTAAAAAACATCATATGGCCATATAGTGTGTGTCCAGGCTTCTGGGGATGCTCACATAGTGAGCCTACCCAGGGCGTGTGGGCGGTGAGGGCCTGCAGGTGGGAAGCCCGCTGTCCCACTCCTGGCGGCTGAGCTGTGATTTTGGTGCAGTTTTGGCCTGGACACCTCTCACGCAGGTCATCACGAAGTCAGAAATGATTGAGTACTACGACGTGAGTGGCTGCTACATCCTCCGGCCCTGGGCCCACTCCATCTGGGAGGCCATCAGCGGCTTTTTCGACGCTGAGATCAAGAAGCTGGGTGTGGAGAACTGCTACTTCCCCATGTTCGTGTCCCAGGGCGCCTTAGAGAAGGAGAAGGCCCACGTGGCTGACTTCGCCCCTGAGGTGAGTGAGCTCAGTGGACTGTGGCGCTTTCTCCCTAAACTCAAAAGTGCATTTTAAATTCACACCTGAGCCCGGCCGGGCGTGGCTCAGCGGTTGAGCGTCGACCTAGGATCCAGGCGATCAGGGTTCGATTCCTGGTCAGGGCACATGCCTGGGTTGCGGGCTGCAGCCGATCAGTGACTCTCTCATCATTGATGTTTCTATCTCTCTCTCTCCCTCTCCCTTCCTCTCTCTGTAATCAATAAAGACATATTTAAAAATAAATAAATTCACACCTGAATAGTAATTTAAAAGACAAGTTTATAATTGCCGACTTAGAGAAATGTTTAAAAACTTAAAGCCATTTAAAAAATTATATTTCTACCTTCAGGGCAAGTTATGACTGTGTTTCTTACATTAAATAATTAACTGGATTCTAGTTTTCTCTCATTGTTAACGAGGACAGTAAATATCTACCCTTTCTCACAGTGAGCAGCAGTAATTATCTTACCTTGCCTTAACTGATAGAGCAAAGATTGAATTTGAGAAATGTCAGCATTTGTGCTGCTTCTCTAAATGCTCTTTAAAAATGTATGAAAAATGATTTCTCTTACTAGGTTGCTTGGGTTACAAGATCTGGAAAAACAGAGTTGGCAGAACCCATTGCTATTCGTCCTACTAGTGAAACAGGTGAGGAGGGGCCTTGGAGCAGGAGAAATCGTCTAGAGTGGGGTCTTTGCTTTCATTGGGTGGTGTTTATAATCCTTGTTGACAATATATAAAATTTCATGAATGTATTGTATGCAGAGATGAATGCAAACTGAAGCTGTAGAATTTTATTCTCTGTACAGTACTCATTATAGAGCTCTTTAACAGTAGGATAAAGTTTGTTTTTTAAAGTTTCATCATTTTGTTTTCATGCTATAATTTTTCAGGACTTTCCAAGGAATTGTATTCTTGGAATAATTTTTGTTCTTGGAATTAGTTATAAAATTGCCAACGCTAATGTTTTATTTATAAATTGCGCTACTTATTTTAATGTTCTGTTTCCATTCATTAGGGTCCTGTAGGTTACTAAGTGGTTTATTTGCATCTTGTATTCTTACAACATTGTAGTGAGGAAGGGGGAGGCAGCTGCTGCCTGCATCTGGCAGGTGAAGACGTATTTGAGACATTAGTGGCTTTCCTAAGAGGACACATAGTAAATGGAGCACCTTGTGCAGAGTGTGAGCCTTGGCTTGTCAGTGTCTCCCAAGGGGTTATTTGTCTTCAGTTAAGGATTAGTTGCTTTTTGACACTTCTAGTGATGCTCTTGTATTGTATTGTAGTGATGCATTATTGAGGTTATGACACCAGCTATTTTTCACAAACCAGATTGGCAATGTTTTGTTTTGTGTTACTGATTACAGGTAGTCATGGGTAGGCCACGGTAAGACTGGCACCTTTAACGTCTCTAACCTCAGTTTCCACGTCCTTAATATTGAGATTGTGATAGCTACTTTGTGGGTTAAATGTGAGAATTGAACAGGATAATGAATGCAAAGAACTTAGCATAGAGTGTGGTATATATTAAAACAAAACAGTAGAAAAGCAAATTAATGATAAATGTTAATCCCATTGCTAAGAACACAAAGTATGGTCAAGTTTAGATAGACTTATTTCCTTGACGAATCTGCTTTACAAAATACATAGTAATACCACTCATTGACCATCACAGATTGGAAACACATTCACACAAATATGACATTCTAATTCCTGCATTATGTTGCAGTTTAGCTCTTAGCAGCCTTCAGGGAGAAATAAAACCTTGAGCGACTAATTCAGTGTTTCCTGTGTCTTTCAGTCATGTATCCTGCATATGCAAAGTGGGTGCAGTCACACAGGGACCTGCCCATCAGGCTCAACCAGTGGTGCAGCGTGGTGGTAGGTGCATGCCCCTCTCAGTACTGTCCTTCCATTATCCTGCTTCCTCGTTTTACACAAGGCATGTTTTGGTTTTCCTTACTTGTGTATTCAAAGGATTGGGAGTATGGGAGCGTTTTTGAAATACTGTGGATCACATTATGATTTCTGATAACTTGCACATGAAGTTGTTAATGAAAACTGAAACGCTCTCTCTGATGACCACATGTCTTCCTACCTCTTCCAGCGCTGGGAGTTCAAGCACCCCCAGCCATTCCTGCGGACCCGTGAGTTCCTTTGGCAGGAGGGGCACAGCGCGTTTGCAACGTTTGAAGAAGCAGCAGAGGAGGTAGGAAGAGAGGTTGCCCTTGTTCAGTTCTGTGTTATGGTCTGTTGCTTTGTCCACGCTGTGCTTTTTCCTCTTTTTCCAGCTGTAAGTAGTGCAGTACTGTCTATTTGTAGGTGATCATTCAGTAAATAACTAAGCTGAAATTTGATCTGATTTCAGAATAAGACTAAACGAATTTCTTGGTGTAAATTATTTTGTTACTTAAGATTGTATCACCATGTTAAGAGAAAAACTAGTCAATTCACATGTGCATGGACTTAAAAAACTGCTTATTGAGATTTTATTAGAAAGTGCTGTTTTCATTTGTCAGATGCAAATATTTTTGGACTTCAAGGTATAGCAGAAATTCTAATCCCCTGAGTGAAATTATTATTAAGGAGATTTTCACCCTGGTTACTGTGTATCTTTCAAAAAACCTTAGTTTTCTCTTACATTCTAAATTTATGTAGGTTTTAAAAAGTTCTTCAGCTTTTCACACTGCTTTGTTGGAGTATCTTCCTTAATAAAGTCACGCTGGCTGCTTTAACCTTTCCACAAAAAAGGGGGGTTTTTTGCTTTGAACTGCTTTTCCCACCACAGTTAGTTTTAAATAGGACAGATTGATAGATCTGTAATAAATAAGTAAACCATAAATTTGAACACTTCTGCACTTAAAATGTTGTTACAGGTCTTGCAGATACTTGACTTGTATGCTCAGGTGTATGAAGAACTCCTGGCAATTCCTGTTGTAAAAGGAAGGAAAACTGAAAAGGAAAAATTCGCAGGAGGAGACTACACCACTACAGTGGAGGCGTTTATATCTGCCAGCGGGAGAGCTATCCAGGTACCGCTGTGCTGCCCAGGCTTCATAGGTGACTTGAGTAAGCCTCGCCTGTGGGCAGAGCCAGCACAATTCTTCTGTTCTCAGAGAAGAAGCCTCTTTTAAAAAGTCAGTAGTTCACATGGTTTCTAGACCACATCTAATTTCAAACATGTCTGCCCCATTTTTCTAAGTCTCCGAGATCTTTTAAGTCAAAGCTTGTATCCTGAATCAAGGCGTAGAGTCCTTTTTAACCTTTGTAGCTAACATTACTGCTCTGAAAGGGCAGCCCACAGCAGCGCTACACTTCTGTAGCACTTTTTGACTAACCTTAGTCTCTTTGGTGTATCAGTTATGCTTTAAAAATGTATTTAAGCCCGGCTGGGCATGGCTCAGCGGTTGAGCGTCGACCTAGGATACAGGCGATCGGGTTTGGATTCCCGGTCAGGGCACATGGCCCCATTGCGGGTTTGATCTCCAGTTGGGGGCGTGCAGGAGGTGGCTGATCAATGACTCTCTCATCATTGATGTTTCTCTCTCTCTCTCCTTTCCTCTCTCTGAAATGAATAAAGATATATTTTTAAAAAATATATTTAACATAAAATCAAGGAAGATAAAATAGATCTGGTGTCATTCTAAGGCATGTGATCTTATAGTCATTTTCGAAGGCATACTAGGTTATTAAAATTAAACCTCGTATTTCTCTCTATTTCAGGGGGCAACATCACATCATCTAGGACAGAATTTTTCCAAAATGTTTGAAATTGTTTTTGAAGATCCAAAGATGCCAGGAGAGAAGCAGTTTGCCTATCAGAACTCCTGGGGCCTGACAACTCGGACGATTGGGGTCATGACCATGGTTCACGGGGACAACATGGGCTTAGTGTTACCTCCCCGTGTAGCCTGTGTTCAGGTGAGAAGATAGTTCTGTTGTTACTTCATATTTTATAAAATACAAGTCAGATTTACTAACTGAAATTGGAAAGGGCGACTTTCTAAATATCCTCCAGGTAGATTTCACTGATACAGAAAAAACATAGACTACAGTCTAGATTTTAGTTGTGTAACTACATTTGTCACTTGTGTTCTTGTTTTTTACTCTTAATTTTTAGCTACTTTATAGAAAAGTTTAGAAATCATTTTTTGAAGTGATTTATAATAGGTTAAATGAATGTAGTAGGTCAGATGAAAATGCATTTGGCATAGACAAGCCATGTGCAGCTGATTGGTAGACATTCTGTACAGATTAAAAATCATACCAGCAAGCTGATTTGTGTTGAGATTTATAGTCACTTCTGTCTGCCATTTCTTTATGTAAATGTGTGATACTGTGCTGGGTTCCAGGTGGTGGTCATTCCTTGTGGCATCACAAATGCACTTTCTGAAGAAGACAGAGATGCTCTGATTGCAAAATGCAATGACTATCGAAGGCGGTTACTCAGCGTTAACATTCGAGCGAGAGCTGATCTGCGAGACAACTATTCGCCAGGTTGGAAATTCAATCACTGGGAGCTCAAGGTAAACTCTTCAGTTGCATCTTTAATCCCAGTTTGGATTTAGATTTTCTTTATGTATATTTTATAAATTGTAAATCTTTCTCATTACTTTTCTCTGTTTTGATAGTTATGAGTTCATCACTAAAACTAAGTGTTGAGCACATTTGCTAAATTTGAAATCTTTTTGAGGAATCTTATTTTTATTATGTTAGAATAAAAAATGATCTTAAAGCCCTTGTTTATGATTAATAAACCTCAGGCAGTACAGTTTTTTCTTAGTTTTATGCCTTATTGGAATAGGTTTCTGTAATAGATCAGAAATATTACCTGCTTTTTCTTATGGTTTATGTAGCCTTTGATTTTGGACTTTTCTGATTTATTGTCAATAAAGCCATGAATTAAGTCTATATATGGGGTGAGCCAAAGTAGGTTTACAGTTGTAATACAAGTAAATAATGCAGTAATTAATAAATAAGAATAAGAATAAACTCTGCGTTTTGGGTACTCACAGCTGTAAGCCTGCTTTTGCCCACCATGTGTTCAGGTGGAGACATGCATGTATCCTCTTAGCTGCCTTTTTTGTTCCCTAGGGAGTTCCAATTAGACTGGAAGTCGGGCCACGTGATATGAAGAGCTGCCAGTTTGTGGCTGTCCGACGAGATACTGGAGAAAAGCTGACAGTTGCTGAAAATGAGGCTGAGACTAAACTTCAAGCCCTTTTGGAAGACATCCATGCTAACCTCTTCAGAAAGTTAGTTCCTTAGAGTGAATGGCTTGTGTTGCTTATCCTCAGACCCCACGTGACCTCTGAGATCTATACCAGGAGTTCTTTGTCCCAACTGGAAGCCATCTTTCCCTCTGAAGTCCTGTGGTTCTTAATTCGCCTCTCTCTTGTTTGGACTTGTAGTATGATTATTTTTCTAAGTGCTTTCTGCTCCCTACTAGGTTTGCAGCAATGGAGTGTCTGTCCCATGGACTAATTTGGGTTAATTTTAGATCCATAAAATTAACCTTTTATGATCTATAAATTTGAGGAATTAAGGCATTGATTCCCACCTACTGGACACATATGAGCAGCACCTGGGAAGCTTTCAAAAGTACCAGTGTCTGGACCCCTCCCCAGAGATGTTAGTAAATGTGTTAATGTAAGTTGCATAAAGGTACAGTTTTTCCTGCCTTAAGGCAAGCCCGGGACATGACATATTCCCTTCTCTGGATCTTATTGGCTAAAACTTCATCACATGGGCCCATCTCACTACAAAAAAAGTCGGAGGAAGGGGAAACAGGTTTGGTGGATGGCTACCAGTCGCTGGCAGAGTTCCCGTGGTCTTAGCCCTGAGACCCAGAAGAGAAACACTCTTTCTCTTCTTTGGTCATCACCCATGTGGTCCTCACACAGTGCATGACTTCAAGTGGGGAAGAGAATATTTATTTCCATTTCTAAAGGAATTACATGGTGGGCAACAGTAGCATGAGTAATGGATATTCATGAGTGTTTCCTTTTCAAAACATTTTCATGCCTTCATGTTTTATTCTCACAACAATTCTACATGGTAGTCACACTTACTTGAGTATTTTTCCAGTTTTGTAGAACTTAGAAGAGTAGTACCAGAGAGGTTTAAAAAATAACCAGATTCTCACAGGTAGTCAGTGATCTAGCCAGGAATAGAATGTTGGTCAATAGAGATTTAACGGCAATAGCAAAAGTAACTGTTATCTGTTGTGTGCTTGGCAAATTCTTCATTCATTTAATGTTCACAGTAATACAGTGATGAGTTAACGGATTCACTGGATGTCACTGCTGGTGACAAAGCCAAGGTTCCAATTGAGTTCTCACCTCTGAGCTATTGTTTTCTCATTAAACTGTGCCTGCTTAAAACAACATCTCATTAATAAGAAAATTATGTATGCTTTTCTAATTACTTTTTGATAGGGCTTCTGAAGACCTTAGGACTCATATGGTGGTGGCTAACTCCATGGAAGACTTTCAGAAGATGCTAGACTCTGGAAAGGTGAGATGCTTCTGAACAGTTTTGAATGGAATGTAGATCTCTCCTCTGATTTGGTTTAATGCTCTTTCTCTCTCTCTCTCTTTATTCATGCTCAGAGTATTAAGGCAAAGTTTTAATTGGTTATGATCAAAACCTCTTAATATGTGTCTTACTGTGTGAGCCGGGAACATGTTAATCTCTGGCTCAGTTTACTAACTTGTGAAATGAGTACAAAATAGATCATCTCTAAATGCCTTTCAGATCCATAAATCTTCCATGTTTAGCACTCTCTTATTCTTGGAATATTGCCTTTGTAATCCTCCCCTTCCTGGGCTCCATAGTTTGTCACTTAAAACTATATACTTCTCAGAGAAAGCTAGAGAATGGATAGCCACCTGATGCCATGTATATTTCCCTTTCACTGTAATTTATGATGATTTTTATTCCATTATTGAGTTTTAAAATTTTCTGTATTATAGAAACATGGTAGTCACTGTTGCAGTACAGCTCATGTAGGCATTACATAACAGTTAATAAATCAATAGAGTAAATACTAGGTAATCCATTGCTTTCAAAGAAATGACTCTCAGCATATATTAGTGGAATCCTAGGTTTCATCATCTTTTCCTTTATGCTTGTAAGTTTAATAGGGAACTTCTTTTTATAGCCCAGAAGGAACTATAAACACTAACTATTGTTCCTCTTATTAGATTGTTCAGATCCCGTTCTGTGGGGAAATGGACTGTGAAGACTGGATCAAGAAGACCACTGCCAGGTAAATGCAGTGAATAGATAAGACGTGTGAGGTGAGGCCATGGAAAAGGAGAAATGCACAGCTTAAATGAGTGGCATTCTTACTTGTTTTTAATTTCAGGGATCAGGATCTTGAACCTGGTGCTCCATCCATGGGAGCCAAAAGCCTGTGCATCCCCTTCAAGCCACTCTGCGAGCTGCAGCCTGGGGCCATATGCGTCTGTGGCAAGAACCCTGCCAAGCACTACACCTTGTTTGGTCGAAGTTACTGAGGCCGGAGCCACACCCCTATCTCCAACCCTCCGCACTTTTTAAAAGATTAATATGAATATCTTCCCAGATATAGACAATTTTATGCTTTTTTAAAATACAACTTCGAAAAGGAAGTCACATGAAATAAATACCTATTCTTATGTCTAAAGTAACAGTGGAGAAAAGACTTTTCTGTAGACAACCCCAGTAATAAATACCATGAACTAACACTGTTTTATGTATTCATTTGTTCCTGAAATACTGGAATTACGTGATACAAGGAAATTCCTACGGAGAGAAGAAAGTAACTGAAAATAACTTCCCTTCGTAGGAATTTGCTGAAGCTTCCGATGAGTAGAACTAATCACAGAAAAGCTTGACTCCGGCTGCTTTAAAGGAATTCACTATTTAAAGGAACTCCACAGTAAGTAAGTATGTGAAGGAAGGACTCTTTCACCCCAGATTTATATGGGGTAGGCTTTTTCCTTAAATTGAGATTTGGCTAAAATATCAACCCTTCAGACATCTGAGAAGTGGTGCTTTTCAAGAGGATGCACAGCCCAAGGCCAAACAGTGTCCTTTAAGGGAAGGTCCCTGTTTTACTTGCTACTAACTAGATACATGACTGACAGTCATAGAAATGAGTGTCCCTCATGTTCATTACAGAAAAAGAAAACAAATAGGCCATGGTATACTTGCTTGAATTGGACAAAACAGCCGATTCTTATAGGGGGAGACATAATCAACAAACCATAAAACCTCTTGATGAGCTGTGAACTGAGCAAAGCAGATGGTCCTCCCTAATATGGGTGGGCCTCATTCAATCAGTTGAAAGACTGAGCAGGCCCTCCTGATTCCTCCTGCTGACTGCCTTCTCTAGTGGAGAGACTGGGTCTTGACTTTAGCAGTAGAAAACAGTCCATAAAACAAGCGAAGAGAAAGCATTTTGGCCAGAGAGTCTGGACATGTCACCCTACCCATATCTGATTGTACTTTAATTAATATTAGTCATCTGTCATATACTTTGGTGTTCCGGGGTTGTCAATAGCACCAGAAGTATGGGGAGGCAGGTACCTCTGCCCTCTTATCTTTAAACACATCTTGGGCCCTTCGCTTGTCACTTCCGCTATGTCTAGAAAACGCTATCCCTTTATTTAATAAATGGGAGCTCCTGCTTTGTGCAGAGTGCTGGAGTGCACAGGAGTAACACCAAACATGGTTTTCCCTTTTCTTGGCTCCCTCTCCTCCAAGTAGTCTATTTCAGAAGCAAAATCAGGCGATCAGGTGGTCAAGGAATCCAACTGAGCATTGTTAGGAGGAGGCCATGGCCTCAGTGGCTATCACTGAGAAATGATGACATCATCCCTGCCAATAGCATGCTGACAACTGTCTTGTACATGAGGCAATACCTGGAAAATTAAATCAGCACTATTCTGTTACACTATCTGGCTTAAAACAATATATAAGCAGTTCTTACGGTTCAGTAGGTGATGTTAAACCGATGTATTTGTTCAACTTTACTGGAAGGTTGAAGAGACTGGAGCATCAATAGCATTGAAATGATACAGAAAGATTTTAAGTCTCATGTAATAGGGATATTTCGGAATACATTTTAAGTATGTCACCCAAACCAAACTTTATGATGAAGAAATACCTGTTGAGTGAGTGAGTTTCTTACCTCCTTCAGGCCTTTACTCATGAACATCTCAGTAAATTCTCCCCCGATCACTTTATTTAAAGTTAAAACTCCACCCTATGCCATCACTTTACCCTTCTCTGCTTCATCTGCCTCGGTTGTTATTGTCTGAAATTCAGCATTTTATAACTTACTTTGTTAGTTGTATGTCTCCCCACACAAGGCTGTAAGCTTCGTAAGGGCAGGGATTTTTGTCTTTTTTTCATTGCTATCTTCTCCAGAGCCTAGCCCTGTGTCTGACACGTAGGAACTCAGTAAATACTTGTTGTATAAATAGATGGAGAGAGTCTTAGTGTAATCTGATTCACAGGCTGGTTGTATTAGGAGCCTGCTAGACTATTAACTGAATTGGCAATGATTTATGAGATGCTAAGGAAATTATTAGGGCTACCTCTAAGTTGTAAGGGTTTAGTAATAGTAAATTAGAGTTTCCCAGGTAAACAGAACCAATAGGATGCATGTATAAATAGAGATTTATTATAGAATTGCAGTTGTCAAGGCTGAGAAGTCTCAAGATCTGCAGGGTGAGTCAGCAAGCAGGAAACTCGGGAGAGCCTATGGTATAGCTTCACTCTGAAAAGACCCTCCTGATTCCTCCTGCTGACTGCCTTGAAGCTGGGACATTGGCTTTTTCCTGCCTTCAAAGCCAACGTCCCAGCTTCAAGGCAGTCAGCAGGAGGAATCAGGGTCTCTTAAGGCCTTCAACTGGTTGGATGAGGCCCACCCACACTGGGGAGGGCAATCTGCTTATTCAGTCTACCAGCTCAAATGTTAATCTCATCCAAACACCCTCACAGAAAACCCTCAGAACAATGTTTGATCAAATATCTGGGCATCTGGTAGCCCAGTCAAATTGACACATAAAATTAACCATCACAGAGTTTAAGTTCAGAAATTGGGTATAGTAATTTCAGTTTCTATTTCTTTAAAGGATTGACTGTAGGCTGGATACTCAAAACAATAGAGGCCACTATTGTTTTATGTATTCAGGACCTAGTAAACCTTTAAGGATTATAAGTGACAGATAAGATCGAAAACAAAAATATTTCCTTGTATCAGTTAAGCCATTGTAATTTGGCTTTCTTCCTGAAACTGACGGGTACGTCTTTAACTCCTCCAGTTTAAAGGCGTTTTATCTTTGCTGAGCATGAGGAATTTTTTGGTTTTGGTGGGGATTTTTGGGTCTTATTTGGGAGAATATTTGGAAGCAGGATGTTTATTTCAGACCAGTGGGCCAGGCAGTAGAAAACTCACACTCTCTTCATCTTTGGGTTTCACTTACTGTAGCTCTGATCTAGAATATTCCCTGTTCCTGTGCAGTGAGCAGCACTCGAGACTGTTTACACACCAGGTGAACAGGATACGGATAAGCTGGCCTTTGTCGAACGACATGTCCCACCACTTAGTGTGCGAGTGGAAGCTGGGAGGGCTGACCCCACAGGTGAGCCACTGTATGATTCAAAGACACAGAGACCCCTGACTTCAGCAATTGAACACACACACACACACACACACACACACACACACACACACACGGAATTCCTCCAGTCCCTGTGGAAGAAGCCCTGGCTTCCATTTCCACCTGTCCCCGCTGGCTCACATGACATCTCCCATTTAATTGCCCTTTAAACTGCTTTATGGCTTTATGGCAGCCTATAAAAGGTGATTTCCAAATCTGACAAGCCCTGAAAAGCTGAAGGGGACAGTTCTCCAGGAGCTGTAATCACAAAATCTGTAGCTGCTCCCTGCGGAGCTCAGCCTTCCGGGGAGAGGAAGGGAGACAGCCGGGGGGCCCAGCCTGCGCCATGGGGCGATACTCCGGGAGGAGCTTCCGTCTGGTCTTCATGTGCGTGGTGAGCATCCTCCTGTTCGTGATGGAGCTGGCGATCGCCCACATCGGTAACTCCCTGTCCTTGGCCTCGGACGCCTTCGCCGTCCTCTCCCACATCCTGTCCATGGTCATAGGCCTGTTCAGCCTGCGGGCCAGCGGCATCGCTCGGCACAGGAAGAGCACGTTCGGCTTCCTGCGGGCCGACGTGGTGGGAGCCTTTGGCAACTCCATTTTCGCCGTGGCGCTGATGTTTAGCATCCTGGTGGAGGCCATCAAGAGGTACATCAACCCCCAGAAGACGGAGGAGCCGCTGCTGGTTCTCAGTGCTGGGATCATCGGGCTGTTCTTCAACGTGCTCAACTATGTCATCCTGGACTGCTGCTACTGCTCGGCGCACCGGCCCCAGGGGGATGCGGGCACAGGTAAGCGCGGTCCTGGGGGGCGAGGGGGGCGAGGGGGCTCGTCTGAAGGGGCCTGATCCACTTGGATCGGCCTCTTGTCCCCATGACTTTGCCAGAGTCCCCTCCTGTCCGAGGTTCCTTGTGAGCTGAGTGGCAGCGGGCCACTTCCATCCTGAGGGTCTTCTTTCACTTTGGGTGACAGGGATTGAGAAAGTGGCCAGGCAGGTAGAGAGAGGGTGGAAAGGTGCCAACTGGCGCCACAGAGGAGCCATTTGAAAGAAAGCGGATGTGCCGTTGAAAACAGTCTCCTTTAATGAGTTGATTTTGTTTACCCAGGTATGGTGTGGCTCTGTTTGAGTTTAAAAATATTTTATTGTCCTCATAAAATATGTTAAAAAAAACTAAAAATACTGGACTATTTAACCAGCTCTGGCCCAGCAAAGTATTGACCAATTGGCTAGGATGGTAAACACTTAGGAATATATTCAAGGAATGTTAAATAAAATGGGGAAGGGAAGAAGGAGATGATCAGTAAACTTCGTTCTTTTTTGGATGGAAATATTTCTGTGTTTATTGTATAAACCTGTCCTGTTTGAGAAAAGGGGAAACTGTATACATGAGTCTTTGAGGGGGGTTAAGTGTGGGTACCCAGCTTATCAGATCATCTGTCAAAAGATGAAATTTTAAATCTTGGAAGAGAACAGTAAATCTAAAGCAATCCACAAGATCAATCATTAGATGGAACTATGTTTGTTATTGCCATAAGAGGAATTCTTTTAAAATATATACTAAAAGCTCTGGCAGAAGAGAAATTTCCAGGGCCTTTTTAAGGAGTCCTTTTGCGTGCACAGACCAGGTTCAAGTCTCGGCTCTACCACATGGCAGTGGTCGAGTTTCTTTACCAGCTTGTGTGCCCACCCGTCATGTGGAGGTAGCAGAACTAAATTAGATCCTGAGTGTTTTGCACTTAATAGGCACTTGGTAAAGAAGAGCTATTGTTTTTCTAGAAATCACAGTGCAGGCCTTTGAATTATATGATAATCCAGCAACACTGAGTTCTAGTGGTTCACCTGGATTTTAAGAAATGTCAGCATTTCCCTTACTGGATGCTCATCAGTTTTCTCTCACTAACTGGGGAGCCCGAGTCTACTTTGCATTTTTTATTGTATTCCTCCTGCATTTGCCACTACTGTAAATTATGTCAGCTGGGTCCAGTCCTTTATCCCATCTGTCTAAATTTTCCCATTGGTAGAGTGCATGTTTTGAGAGCACCTATAGTATGTGTTAAGTATACAAGGGAACAAATGAGAAACTAGAGTCTGTATCTTTGTGCAAGTTAAGGCATCAACTAGGGCCTCATCTTATTAGTTAACATGAGACCCTATGCCTCGTTTACATCAGCCGTCCTAAGAATTACTACTTGAGGTTCCACATCATAAAGTTCACATTACATATATATTTATATACACATTTTTATATATATTTACATATATATGTATATATTTCAAGTGCTTCATATAGACAATGGAACTGTCACCATTATGCTTTTAGTTCTGATTTTGTCTTTCCTCTTGACATATTTACCTACACATAGCAAAAAGCAATTTAGGCAAAGAGTTTGACTCTTTGGTCAACAGGAAAATTGGTAGGCAACCGTAGTTCTGTTTTTATAAATTGGATCATTACTGGATAGGTCTTGGTTTGGCTCTTGTCTGTGTTCCTGCTAAGATAACAACAAGAGGCTGAAGGCAAATGTTTCACCCAGACCATATGGGTTTCCACTGTCTTAATTCCAGAGCATCTGTCTCCTTTTGAAGTGTCTGATGCTATGTGGATAGTGGTCTACTTTACATGACTAAGTACAGCAAGTGCTCCACACAGAGCTAGTGCTGTAAGAACCCTGTTCTGTGTCCACACTGTCATTTTAGTAGCTTTAGGTATTGCTGAATTTTTCTGTTAGGAATTTTAGAGTGTTTAAAACCTCCAAGTAATTTTAGGATAGCTACTTGCTTTTTAACACTTATATCTCGAGTTATATATTTGTCACTTTTACCAAAACATACATTTCGATATTCTTTTAATCACCTAAGTAAGCTTACAGTAAAGAGCAAATATTTGCGTTGGAAGGATCTCGAAAACTGACCTGAACCCAACTTCAATTGTCTTCTATTCCAAGAAGAAATGTAATTAATCCATATATACTGATTTATACCAGGAGGTTTAAAGTATGAGGGAAAATTTATTCTTGACCTCAAAAGGTTAAATCTAAACTTAGGATAAAGAACATACATGTGTCTGAAGTCCTAGCTTGGAGCATTTTGAACATATATGTGTCTGAAATCTCAGCTAGAGAGCTGCAGTGCCTCCTGGTTGAGTGATCAGAGTCAGGTAACCGTCATTTCTGTGGAACCTGTGGCGAGGGAGAGTTTTGGACCTCACAAGCCTTCAGCCTCCCCTGCTTCTGTGGATCTTTTGTGTGCCCTCCTTTACCTATCTGCTGTAGGAGTTGATGACGCCAGTTATATTTTATGTCTGAGATCCTAGAAAAGTAAAAAATAAGGCCACCAACTTTAAATTAAATATTAACAACACAGGTGGATATACCGTTAAGACTTTAAACATCCCTGGGACTCGTGGAGTAGATTCATTGGAGAATCAGACAGACGAGCCAGACATTTTTAAAAACACCTGGGAGGAAAGACTGTCTGGACGATTTAGCTGCGATGAGGGAGCCTGGAGGCCTTAGACCAATATCTAGTCAGCGTGAGTTCACCCCTCCTGACATGAAAAAGTGATGGCGAAGCACGTGTTTGGGGCTAAAGTGGAGGCAAAATGAAAAAAGCAAAAATTACAAGCACGAAAGATAAAAAACAAACGAAATAGATTTAAAGTCCAGAGTTTGGATGGCTCTGAGTGTACGTCTGGGGAAAGGGCAGGGAAGGGGCAGCCACATTCCTGGGCTTCAGACCCCGGGAAAGGCGCGGCCCCACTGTTTTCTTTCTCTGGGCCTGGGGACTAAATATGCTTCATTTCTATGTTTTTTTCCTCATTTACTTTGTTCCGTTTTCCTCGACTTTCCCATTATCTTTTGTGTTTATATTTTATTTTTGATAATTTTTCAGTCTTGGGTTTTCTTTCAAATGTCACTGAGAGATCTCTCCGTGCCTTTGACTTGCCCTTGAACAGATATCTTGCTGTGCATTGGCCTTTATTTTAAAAGGAAAATATGTGTGCAGCTCTGTCTAGGATAGAGCAGGCTTCCCATTTATCTAATTTAGAAATGACAAACTGACATCTGAAATATCTGCTTATTATTTCAAATTTTTTAATTTTTTTTTTGACGAAACGCCTTTCCTTCCATTTTGTTTAAATTACTTTTGTTTTGATTTTCAGTCGTGCTCCCTTTCTTTCTGTCCGTGTCTGATAAACACATTGCATCCCTTACCGGGGAGTGACATTTACAGTACTCCTGCCTGCTACAGAGTTTAGAAATTTCCATGACATTCTAGGCTCCAGATTTTCTCTTTTTTTTAAATATGTTTTTGTTGATTTTGGAGAGAGAAACATCGACCGGCTGCCTCCTGCACGCCCCCTACTGGGGATCGAGCCCCAACCTGCATGTGTCTCACCGGCAGCCTCAGCAGGTTCCTGAGCTGAGCTGAGCTGTTGGGGTGCTGGCAGTGAACCCTGTGGCTCCTGTGCCTGCCTTATGCCCCTCTAGAGATGCTGCCTTTCCACAGCTGCCTGTCGTGGCCCTGAGTGGCGTGTCCTGTGTCACCCTGCGCAGCCATCTGTTCGGGAGCTGGGGAGATGCTTCGGTGTTTTGCTTCTTTGGTGTCCACTGAGGAGGGCTCGGTTAGGTGGTTAATGTTTAATGGTTTAATCAGGTTCTTAACGTGGTTTCCTTCCTTCTGTATCACACGGAAAGCTGGCGTTCCTCTTGTACTTTTTCCCTTGGCCTTTTCATGGTTTTCTGGGTCAGACATTTGTTGTCCAGCTTGGGCTTTTTGTTGTTGTTATCACAGTGAGAGAAATGAAGTCAGTGTTGGGTGAGCCTGCCAACCGCAGCTGTGGTCCAAACACATCTTGTCCGCTCTCACCTCTCTGAGTTGGACCATCTCACTCGAAAGGCATTTTCCTGCTAAACCAAAAGGAGAACCATTGCATTCTTTCCTCGGCCTCCCTGCCCCTTCCTGGAGTCCTGGAGTCCTAACTCTGTTTCTTGACCTATTTCCACGGGACACAGGCAACCCCTCCACCCACAATTACTGTTTTGCTTTGGAGCTCACCCAATAACACCTTAAACGTCTCTGGTAATCATCCTGGGCTTATCCTCTCCAATAATTCCAAATTTTATGGAGACTGCGGGCCTTCACATAGTAGTTTCCAGTTCCGCTTGTTGCATAAGAACCCCCCACAAATTAGTGGAATAAAACAAGCATTTTCTGACATCTGGGATTCTGTGGGCTGGAATTTGGAAAGGTCACAGTGTGCTCCACGGTGTTGGGAGCTCAGCTGGGAGGACCCAAAGGCTGGGTGACCGGATGGCAGGAGGCTGCAGCATCCGAAGGTTCCTGGGCTGAAGGTCTCCATGTCTAGGACAGCTGGCTGGATTGCCTACATGCGACCTCTCCCTGTGGCCTCAGGACATCATGTGTGATGGCTCAGTTTCCAACCTGAGCATTCATTCAAACAAGGTAGATGGCCCAGTACCTTTTCTGGCCCAACATCCAAGTCTCTGGATTACAAACCAAAGAAAAGATAGAGGGAATGTCAAGCCCACACAGACCCCACTTCTGGCTGGAAGGAACATCAAGGTCACTTGTAGAAGAACATGTGAGCCAGCAGACATCGCTATGGCCAGATAGTAGATAATCTGCAGGTAGTGGCTCCTTCCCTTAACTTCTGGCGCTCATCTCTGGAAACAGCAATCAGCACAGTGTGCCCTCCAGCTACAAGTCATACAGAATATACTCGCTGCTCCCCAAGACCCTAAAGTCTCATCCCCTGGGCATTAGCTT